AATCGATCTGGTGCGATCTACGCGGTGCACTTTCTGTCGCGATGCCTATGTGGTGTAACCTATGTGGTGCAAGCTGCGTGGTTCAATACATTCGTTGCCGTGTGTGCTGCGCAATCTTCATGGTGCAATGCACGCATATAGTGCAATCGACGCGCGCATAGCAAACGATCCGACGTCGTGCAATCTACGCGATACAATCTATTCCGCACGATTCCTCCGCCCATGCCCCTCGCTGTCCTCATCATACTTATCATCGCTCCATCTCCTCCTCAAGCTCCTCCTCTTCTTCCTCCGCCTCCTCCTCAGCCCGTTATCCCTGCTCGGTAAGTGTTTCCCATGCCCTCCAGCCCGTCCTCTGCATGCCCCCAAACAGTGTTTGCAGCATAAAGGGGTTCATACTTCAGTTAACCATCTCGGGGCCACCGCCGCAACATTGCCGCCGCGCCGCCCGTCGCCGCGCGCCGCCGTCGCCGCAAAATCGCCGCCGCCGCAGCAACATCGCCGCCGTGCCATCCGTCGCCGCTTGTCGCCGTCGCCCCCCATCGCCGCCGCCGCCCCAAAACCGCCGCCGCGCCGCCCGTCGCCGCCTGTCGCCGTCGCCGCCCGTCGCCGCCATCCCCGCCGCCCCCGCCCGTGGCCGCCCGTGCCGCGCGTCGCCGCCCGTCGCCGTCGCCGCATCGCACATGCTGCCGTTCCATAGTAGTAGTAGTAGTAGTAATAGTAGTAGTAGTAGTCGTAGTAGTAGTAGTAGTAGTAGTAGCAGTAGTAGTAGTAATAGTAGTAGTAGTCGTCGTCCTTGTAGTAGCAGTAGTAGTAGTAGTAGTAGTAGTAGTAATAATAATAGCAGAAGAAGAAGAAGTTGTAGTCGTAATAGCAGCGATAGTACTACTAGTATTAGTAGTAATCGTAGTAGTAGTAGTAGTAGTAGTAGTACTAGTAGTGGTAGTAGTAGCCGTAGTAATATCAGCAGTAGCGGTGGTGGTAGTAGCAGTCTTAGTAGTTGTCGTAGTAGTAGTAGTAGTAGTAGTAGTAGCAGAAGAAGAAGTTGTAGTAGAAGTAGTAGTCGCAGTAGTAGAAATAGTAGTATAAGTAATAGAAGTAGTAGTAGTAGTGGTAGCAGTGGTAGCAATAGTCGTCGTCGTAGTAGTAGCAGTAGTAGGAGTAGGAGTAGTGGTAGTGGCAGTGGTAGTAGTAGTAGTAGTAGTAGTAGTAGTGGTGGTGGTAGTAGTAGTAGCTGTAGTGGAAGTAGTAGTCGCAGTCGTACAAGTAGTAGTTGAAGTACTAGAAGTAGTAGTACTGGTAGCAGTGGTAGTAGTAGTAGTAGTAGTAGTAGTAGTCGTAGTAGTAGTAGTAGGAGTAGTGGTAGTGATAGAAGAAGGAGCACAAGTAGTCCGTGTCGCAATCCGAGTTTTCGTGGTGCAACATATGTTGTGCAAGCTATGATGTGCAAGCTACGACAAGCATCGTACGTCGCGCAACCTATTTGAGCTATCTTCCCCAAGTGGTGCTTGCACTAAGGTGATCTGGCACCTTTTCAAATTAACTAGGCCTGGGTTTTGGCATGGCATCTACGTCGTCGCCTCGTCGCCGCCCGTCGTCTGGACCTGGATTTTGGCACGGCGGCTACGTCTTTGCCGTTGCCGCCCCGCCGCCGCCTCTTCGCCGCTTCGTCGCGCCGTTGTTGCGCATGGCTTTGCATTGCGTTGCGTTGCTGTACGTCGTCGCGCATGTCTTTGCATTGCTTTGGATATCTTGACGTTGCATGGCTTTGGCTGGCGTTGCTACCCCATAATATGACACCACATCGCGCAGGCCATCTACATTGCCCCACGCCGCTGGCACCATAGATATTGCGCGCCACACAGCTTAGACCACATAGATTTCACAGCTTAGGTCGCACCCGTTAGCTTGGACCGCATATCTTGCACCACATATGTAGCACCCCATGGAAGGCACCACGTAGCTTACACCAAGTAGATTGCACCACATACATTCCAACATATAGCTTACTCCGCATATATATATATATATGTATACACATTGTAGATTGCACCACAGGGCTTCCACCATATAGCTTACGCAACATATATTGCGCCACGTCGATTGCACCACGTAGACTGCCCCACATCGATTGCACCACATAGCTACAGCACGCACGCATTGCACCACATATATTGTACCACGCTGCTTACACCACATAGATTGCACCACGTATGTTGCTAGAAACCCATTTTTCGGGGTCCATGCTGGAGAGCATCCTCCCTCTTCTCCTTACCCAGCCCCGCACTCCGTTTCATCGTGTGGCAGTGCTCGTCGATCTCGAATTCGTAGATCTCGACCACTGGCCTAGGCCGCCAAGCTCTCTCTCCTCCTCGTCCTCCACCTCTTCCTTGTCCTCTCGCCCTCCTCGTCCTCGTCCTTCTCTCCTCCTCCACCTCGCCCCCCTCGCCCCCCTCTCTCCCACCTCGTCCTCCTCGTCCTCCTCCCGCGCCCCCCCTCGTCCTCTTGTGGTTGTGGTGATGATGAAGTTGACAATGGTAATGCTAATGATGATGATGTTGATGATGATGATGCTGATGATGAGGACGAGGATGAGGATGCTGATGCGGATGATGATCCGGATGATGATGATGATTATGATGCCGATGATGGTGATGATGGTGATAATCTGAGGCCGCGGCAGCTCGAATCTCACCTGCTGCTTCACAGGCTTCACCTGGTGCTCGCACCTGGCTCGCACCTCCTCCTTACCTCCTCTCTTCATCCATTCATCCTCCTCCTTCTCCTCGTCCTCATTTTTGTGCTTCACCATCCTCCTCCTCGTCATCATTCTCGTTCCCCTCCCCCCTACTCCCGCCCGCCCCCAGTCCCTCGGGCACCTGTCGCCCATGGGCATGGCTGCCCCTGCAGCCTGGCCTCAGGGCGGGTCTCCTGCAGCCAAATTCTGCACAGCGAGGGTGAGGGAGAGGGGGGGTGATGAATACATGGCGACGGTGATGTGATGATATGATGGCGGTGACATGGTTAAATCATGATGTTCTTTAGCGACATAGTGATATATGATATAGAGGTGTATTGATATATTGATGATGTGTAGTGATGTGATAATGGTGATATGGTTGTAATGGCATCGTGATGAAGTGATATAGTGATATCGCAAGGACGCGAAAAATCGGTCGCAAGGACGCGAAAAATCGGTAGCGAACGACACTAAAATTCGGTAGCGACGCGATCAAATTCGGTCGCGGGCATCAGCTCAACATCGGTCGCGAATGAAACGAAATCCAGTAACGGCGACCGGATTTGAGGACGTCGGCGGAGCCTTCGTTACCGGAATTTGTCGGTGACTTTCAAATTTCGGTCGTTCCCGATTCCCCCCCGCCGCGACCGGAAATTTCCAGTCGCGGATGATCTGGGCCCCCCCCTCCGGATCCGGAAAACCGGGGGGGGGCACTACCGGTTCGAACCCCTCCCCCCCCCCCCCTACCCTTCGGATCCGGAAAACGGAGGGGGCCACTACCGGTTCGCACCCCCCCTTCCCCCCCCCCCCCCCCTACTCACCGCCAGCAAACGACTCCCGGTCCCCACCACCGTCCGCATCACATCCCCCACTGGTGTTCCCAGCACCACTGTCCTCACCACCACTGTCCCCACTGGTTCCACCCACCACCGCCCCTACTGTCCCCACCAGTGCCCCCACCACTGTCGCACTGTCCCCGCTGTCCTCAGAACTGTTCCCACCACGGTTCCACTCTCCCCACTGTCTCCACGGCCCCAACCACTGCCCGACTATCCCCGCTGTCCCCACTGTCCCACTGACTCCTCCGCTGTCCCACTGAGCTGTCCCACTGTTCCCACCGCTGTCCCCACTGTCCCCACCACTGTCCTCACTGTACCTTTGTCCCATTGTCCCACCGCCGTCCTCGCCACCGCCTTCACCACTGTCCCCACCACCATTGTACCCTCCACTGTCCCACTGTTTCCACCTCATTCCCATTGTCCCCACACCACTGTCCCCACCACCACCGTCACCACCACTGTCCACTGTCCCCCCCTGTTCCCACCATTGTCCCCACCACTGTCCCCACCAACCGTCCCCACCACTGTCCCACTGTCCCACTGTCCCCACCACTGTCCCGCTATCCCCTCACCACTGTCCCCGCCAACACCGTCCCTGCCACTGTCCGCGCCCCCACTCGGCGGCTTTCGAGGGGGGGGGGGGGTCGAACCGGTAGTGACCCCCCTCCGGTTTTCGAGGGGGGGGGGTTCGAACCGGTAGTGACCCCCCCCCTTTTCATGATGAACTGGGGGGGGGAGGGGGGGGGAGGGGTTCGAACCGGTAGTGACCCCCCCCGGTTTTCCGGAAGGGGGGGGGGGGAGGGGTTCGAACCGGTAGTGACCCCCCCCGGTTTTCCACCAGCAGCGGTAGAACACGCTCTTTCATACATACATACATACATACATGCATGCATGCATGCATGCATGCATGCATACATACATACTGGTAGAGACGCACCGCTTGGGGCATACTCGCCTGGTAAGTAATCCAAGGTTGCGCACGCAAAGCGTAGCGAAACTCCTCGCTGCCCCTGGAGCGAAAAGAGTGAACAACAGGACATGACATTGATATTTTCCGACGGAGACGCATCAACCTGGCGCGCATTTATCTGGTCGATTGCCCACGGGTGTGCACGCAAAGCGAAATGAAATAAACGATCGCCTCCGCGGTGAAGAGAAAGAAGCTGCACTGGCGGGGTCTCGCGCCAGAGACACAACAACCTCGCGCGCACTTATCTGGTCGATTGCCCAAGGATGTGCGCGCAAGGTGGAGCGACCCGCTCATAAAAGTAAAGCAAAGCATCAAATTCACTGGGCTGACCGCAGGCGGACGTCACCTGCAAGCCAGCATTGCAGCCTGACGCGCCTTGGCGCGAACGGCGCACGTACTGAGGCGCCGACCAATTCCCTTTCTGAACATTCGAACGCCAAAAATGAAACTCCGCCACCCTGTCGCAGGAACGTTGGGGCCATATGAGAGCGCTCGTTGGCTTTCGGGAAACGTTTCTGCTGTTCTCTGGGAGCGACGCCCCCCTGCCGCGCGCATCCCCACAAAATCGCGCCCTCTGCACTTTGCTCCACGGCTCCACGGCGCCCTGAGCCAGAGACCGCCTCAAAACGGCCGCAAGACTCCCCATGCCCGTCCAAGGACGGCCCAGCGGACTCTGTTGGCCCTCTCTTGAAATCCCGTTGGGATTTCTCGGGACCCTCTTGGGCGGACTCCGGAACCTCTGGGGCCGTTTTTGGGGTCCTGTTGGGCCGTCCTCGAGCCCTAGGAGGGGGGGGAGGAGGGGCCAGGCGGAGCGAAACAAACGATTGTCTCCGCAGCAAGCAGATAGAATCCGAGGTTGGGAAAGAGATCGAGGTGAACAAGAGACCCCCCGCCAAGAAGTCGTTTTCGGTTTCGTGTCGTGCGTGTGGGCGAGGCGAGGCTGCTTCGGCGGGCGAGGGGGATGAACCCGCCGTGCTCAGGCAAAACCGAACAAAATTCTGCTGCGCCCCCCGGTTGGCCAGTGGTTGCCTGGGGGTGTCCCGCGGCGTCCCGTGGCGCGACAGAATCCGAGGTTGGGAAAGAGATCGAAGTGAACAGGAGCCCCCCGCCAGGAAATCATTTTCGGTTTCGTGATCGTGTCGCGCGTGTGGGCGCGGCGAAGCTGCGTCGGAAGGCGAGAGGAAAGAACCATCTGTGCTTACGGCAAAACTGGGCCAAATTTTGCTGTGCCCCCCGGTTGGCCAACAATGGACCGGGGGTGGCTGGCGGTGGCCTTGGGGTGTCCCGCGGTGTCCCGCGGTGTCCCGTCGTGTCTGGTGCTATGCGATGATGTGCTGTGCTGTGCTATGCCATGCTGTGCAATTCTACGCTATGTTATCAATGCGATGCTAAATTATGCGGTCTGATGCGATGCGATACTATGCTGTGCAATGCGATGCTATGCTACGCCGTACTGTGCCATGCGATGCTATGCTATTATATGCGATGCGATGCGATGCGATGACATGCTATGCCATGCTATGTTGTGCTATGATACGCGATGCTCGTCTATGCTGTGCTATGCGATACTATGTTGTAGCTCCAGTTGGTCCACCTTCCTCCCCCACACCACCACACACACACAACCTCCTTATCACCCGAAGGGTGGTCGTACATGTAGGTATGCACTGGCAGGATCTCGCGGCCAGAGACGCAACCGCCTCGCGCACACCTGCCTGGAGCGGGGAGGGACGGGGAGGAATGGGGACGATCTGGGAGGAGCGGGGAGGGGTATGGAGTGAGGTGCCTTGTGGGCCTCTTGGACTGTCTCAGAGCGCTCTGGGATCCACAGGCGCCTACGGAAGTCGTCTTGGAGGGCTCTGTGGGACGTCTTCGGGCGATCCTGGGAGCTTCTTGGGCCGTCTTGGAGGCCTTGTTGGGATGTCTTGCGGCGCTCTTGGGGTTGTCGGAGGCCGTCGTGGACGCTATTTACTTCTATATATATATATATATATACATACATACAAGCACACACACACATCGATGTACATATATATATATATATATACTAGAACCATCGCGCGCGCTTCGCGCGCGCTCAAGTTCTAGCCGGTCCGCTGGGACAATCCCACCAGCCCTCTGGGCGTAGGTGGTTTAGAAAGCTTCTTCTTCCAACCTCCTTCGTCCACTCCGGGGAGGGGCTTACCGTCTTACCCCTCCCCTACCCTCTCCCCATGGACCTGGATTGGGGGGTTCGCGAGCGGTCAGAGCGTCCAAGATGGCCCAAGATGGCTCCATGAGCGCCTCGGAGAGCCCCAGATGAGCTCCAAGATGGATCAAGATAGCTTAAGATGCCTCAAGATGGCTCCGAAGATGGTCCAAGAGGCCCCAAGACCGCCGCAAGACGGCTCCAAGAAGCCAAACAGCTTCCCAAGGAAGCCTCCAAGAGGCCAAAACCATTGAAACACATGAGGGAAACCACTGATGTTTTGCCTTCTCGCCTTTTCGCTTCCGATGGCCTCAAGATGGCTCCAGGATGACCCAAGATGGCCCCAAGAGGGACCCAAGAGAGCGCCAAGACGGCCCAGAGCGACCAAGAGCGCTCCAAGAGGGGCCCAAGAGGCGATGTTCGATGCTCCCGAGGGGGTACCCTAACCCCCTTTCTTTAATCGATCTCCTCCAAGATGGCGCCAAGAGCGCTCCGAAGGCTCACAAGAGCGCCCCAAGACCCCAAGAGGCGCCAAGACGGCCCCAAGAGGCCTCAAAGAGGCTCCCCAGAGACTCCCAAGAGGCCCCCCGAGAAGCTTCAAGAGGCTCCCCGGGGCACCCACGACGCTCCAAGAGGCCCCTGGGCCGTCAACTTCCGACAAGACTTCCAAGAGACATCCGAAGAGACATCCATCGCCCTTCTCCTCCTCGTCCTTGTCCTCCTACTCGTCGTCCTCTTCCTCCTCCTTTCGTCCTCCTCATCCTCCTCATCCTCCTCGTCCTCCTCGGGTATTCCTCCTTGTCTTCCTCCTCGTCCTGCTCGTCCTCCCCCTCCTCCTCCCTCCTCCTCCTTCTACCTCCCCCCCTCCTCCTCCTCCTCCTCCTCCTCCTCCTCCTCCTCCTCTCCTCCTCCTCCTCCTCTTCCTCCTCCTCATCCTCCTCGTCCTCCTTTTCCTCCTCCTCTTCGTCCTCCTCCTCCTCCTCCTCCTTCTCCTCCTCCTCCTCCTCCTCCTCCTCCTCTTCGTTATCACTCCCTCCCTCCTCTTCCTCTCTTCCTCCTCCTCCTCCTTCTCCTCCTCCTCCTCCCCCACCTCCACCTCCTCCTCCTCGTCCTCCTCCTCGTCCTCCTCGTCCCCCCTGCTCTTTCCCTCCTCCTCCTCCTCCTCCTCCTCCTCCTCCCCTCCATCACATCATCATCATCATCATCATCATCCTGCTCGTGCTCCTCCAACTCCTCCTGTTCCTCCTCCTCCTCCTCCTCCCTCCTCCTCCTTTTCCTCCTCCTCCTCTTCCTCTCTTCCTCCTCCTCCTCCTCCTCCTCCTCTTTTTCCTCCTCCTGATCCTCCTCCTCGTCGTCCTCGTCATCGTCATCGTCCTCCTCCTCCTCGTCCTCGTCCTCCTCGTCCTCCTCGTCCTCCACGTCCTCCCCCTCCTCCTTTCCTCCTCCGCCATCATGCACGCCGTTTTTTTAAATAACAATAAATAGATAAATAGTTGTTCTTCTTTGCTGGCCTTCCTCATTCAGCCGCGAAGCTAATCCAAAACTTCGGCTTGACGGCTTCCCCAACTCTTGGTCCACTGTATGCTCCGCTGCTCTTTTGACCAAGGCAATACGCATGGGCATCGTTCGTGGATGGGCTGGTGGGGATACGGTAAGCGTCAACAATTGAGCGGAGCAGGGGTGTTCGGTTGGTGGAACGCAGGCGGCGTGAGCAAAGTTCTGATCTTTGCAAAGGGGGCAATTGATTGTGGTTGGATGATGCGCGGGTGTCGTCCGTTGTTGCCGTCGATGTCGTCATTGTCGCCGCCGTGTCCGTCGGGTGCCGAACGGCGGTCGTCGTCGTCGTCGTCGTCGTCGTCGTCGTCGTCGTCGTCGTCGTCGTCGTCGTCGTCGTCGTCGTGCTTGTCATTTCGTTGGGTTTGCGGGTTCGTGTAGTTGCGGCTCCAACTTGGTGTATCGGCTGGAACCCCAAGCCTTTGAGAGTGGTTCGTGGGCGCGGAACGGCGTCTGGGGCATCTTCCGTCGAAGGACGGGACGGGAATTCAACGCTGTTTTGGAACACGGAAGTCTGCTATTGCATTTTTGCATGGGGGGGGGAGGGGAACCAGACAAAGGGGTTCTGAGATAATCCAACTGCGTCCGCGGGGGGGTTCGGGGAACCATTCGGCGCGCGGTGCCAGGAAGCGAGGCCCCTGGGCGACCCTTGAGGGCAGGCCGCCCGAGACCGCGGGGCGCGGCCTTAATCCAGAACGGCTACGGCAGGTAGGTTCGAGACCTGTGGGGCAGGGACGTCGCGGGGCAGCTGCAAATTTTTTGTCGGACGACTTCGGGTGGTTGTCGGGCTTTTCGGGACGACTTCGGGTGGTTGTCGGGCTTTTCGGAAGCCCTCGGGTCTCTCTCAGGGGCGTTTCAGAGGCCTCTTGGGTTCTCCTCCGGGCCATTGGGCCAAAAAGCTTCGTTTCTCGGCTCTCGTGTCCGCTCCTGGGCGGCTCTTGTAAGCGTCTTCGGGGGCTTCTGGGGCCTCTTATGGCCCCTCGGGGGGGCTAGGTGCCATAATTCGGGCCGCATCCGGACCGCGCCCCAGCAGTTCTCTGCGGGGCCGCGGCAAAAAAAAAGCCACTCGGGCGCGTCTTGGGGCCTCTTTGGGCTCTCTCGAGGCTTCCTAGATGGTTGCGGAGGTTGAAGGCTGAGGGCCCTGCAGTGCTGCCTTTCCGGGCTTTGTCCGTCTGGGGGCTCTCTTGGGTGCCTCTCGGGGCCCTCTTGGGCTTCTCTTTGGGGCCCTGTGGCGCCCTCTCGACCGAGCCCGAGCCTCCTGCAGCCTTGCTTGGAGCCATGTTGACCTCTCCGCTGTTCGAGCGGATTTTTCCACAAGCTGTGCGAGTTGCGAAAAGAATTGCGCCTTTGGAGACGTCTTCTGAGAATCTGTCACCACCTTTGACATCAGACTGTCACACGTGCAGGAGGTCGCAAAGCAACAGAAGCTCGCGTGGCTCTGATAGCTTCGGCGTGACACACTTGGAGCGGACGATGAAGACGGAGCGCACAACGACGGGAAGGAAGACCAATGGACCACCACCACCACCACCACCACCACCACCACCACCACCACCAGTGGCTCGTGGGCCGTCTTGGGGCTCTCTTGGGGGCCTCCTGGGCCATCGTGGTGCTGCCTGGGAGACCCTTGGGGCGGCCTGGGAGACGTTGTGGGCCGTCTTGGAGCGTGGGAAGCTCGGCCAGGGCAGACTGGCGAAAACATCGAAAAACTAAAAGGAAATTACTGATTGTGGCTTGTCGGAACTGTCTATGGATTTCCCGTCGGGCGCACTCGGTGCCTCTGGGGAATATCTTGGCCCGTCTTGGGGCTACCTTAAGCGTCTCGGGACGTTCTTGGGGGTCTCTCGGAGCGTTCTCGAGGCCCCCCGAACATTCTGCCAACCATCCGGGGCGCTTTTGGGTCAGTGTTACCGGACTCGGAAGCCCGGGGGCCGCCGGGGGGGCGTCCTGGTGGCTGTCGTGGGGCTCTCTGGAAGCGTCTTGGGCGCCTCTTGGGCCGTCTTGGGACCGTTTTGGGGGCCTCCTGGGCCGTCGTAGAGTTGCCTGGGAGATCATTGGGGCGGCCTGGAAGACGTCGTCGGCGTTTTGGAGCGTCGGAAGCTCGACTGCCGACAACAAGCAAAAACCAAAGGAGAATCAATGTTCTTTGGTTGTCGGGGCTGTCTCTGGGGTCCTCTTCGGGCGCACGTCGTGGTTCTGGGGAGCCTGTTGGCCCGTCTTGGGGCTACCTCGAGCGTCTCGGAACGTTCTGGGGGGTCTTTCGGAGCGTCCTGGAGGCCACCCGGGCATTCTGGCAGCCATCCCGAACGCTCTTGGGGCACTCTTGGGCGGATTCGGAGGCCCGGAGGCAGCCGAAGAAGCGTCCCGGGAAGGGCCCACGAAAGCCTGGGAGACGTCGTGGGCCGTCTTGGAGCGTCGGAAGGTCGAAAGGGGAAACAGCCGAAAACAGGCGAAACAACCCAAAAAAAATCAATGTTTTTCCCAACCATCCTGTGGTGTTGGGTCCTCGTTTTGAAGAGACAGTGGCCCGCGTCTCCTCTCATACTCTCCTCCTCCTCCCGTCCTCGCCCATTTCGGTGCACCCCTCACACGGTTTCGTGGCCCCATAGGGAGCTCCACCGAAGGCCCCAGCGGCCGCGTTCGCATGGCGGCCTCGGGCCATGTCGGCGCACCCCTCACGAGGATCGTGGCCCCATAGGGAGCTCCACCGAAGGCCCCAGTGGCCGCGTTCGCATGGCGGCCTCGGGCCATCTCGGCACACCCCTCACGAGGATCGTGGCCCCATAGGGAGCTCCACCGAAGGCCCCAGTGGCCGCGTTCGCATGGCGGCCTCGGGCCATTTCGGCACACCCCTCACGAGGATCGTGGCCCCATAGGGAGCTCCACCGAAGGCCCCAGTGGCCGCGTTCGCATGGCGGCCTCGGGCCATTTCGGCACACCCCCCATGCGGATCGTGGCCCCATAGGGAGCTCCACCGAAGGCCCCAGTGGCCGCGTTCGCACGGCGGCCTCGGGCCATTTCGGCACACCCCTCACCAGGACTGTGGCCCCATAGGGAGCTCCACCGAAGGCCCCGTGGCCGCGTTCGCATGGCGGCCTCGGGCCATTTCGGCACACCCCTCACGAGGATCGTGGCCCCATAGGGAGCTCCACCGAAGGCCCCATTGGCCGCGTTCGCATGGCGGCCTCGGGCCATTTCGGCGCACCCCTCACGAGGATCGTGGCCTCCACCATAGGCCCCAGTGGCAGCGTTCGCATGGCGGCCTCGGGCCACTTCGGCACACCCCTCACAAGGATCGTAGCCCCGTAGGGAGCTCCACCGAAGGCCCCAGTGGCAGCGTTCGCATGGCGGTTCGGGCCATTTCGGCACACCCCCCATGCGGATCGTGGCCCCGTAGGAGCTCAACCGAAGGCCCCAGTGGCAGGGTTCGCATGGCGGCCTCGGGCCATTTCTGAACACCCCCCGCGAGGATCGTGGCCCCATGGGGAGCTCCACCGAAGGCCCCAGTGGCAGGGTTCGCATGGCGGCCTCGGGCCATTTCGGCACACCCCTCACGAGGATCGTGGCCCCATAGGGAGCTCCGCCGAAGGCCCCAGCGGCAGCCTCCCTCATGGCTCTCAGAGCCCTCTCCTGCTTCTGCTCCTCGGTCAGGGGGACGCCGTCCTCGTCGTCGTCGCCGGCGCCCGCGAAGACGGCCACGAACTTGCCCCTGAACATGTCGGGCTCGGGCGGGAAGTTGTGGCCGCATCGGGGGCGCGGGCGAAGACGTTATTCGCAAGTGCGGTAGTCACAACTGCGCATGGCTGGGTCTTTCGCCGGGCTAATTTGGTTGTCGGGGCTGTCTCTGGGGTTCTCTTCGGGCGCACGTCGTGCTTCTGGGGAGCCTGTTGGCCCGTCTTGGGGCTACCTTGAGCGTCTCGGAGCGGGTCTCTCGGAGCGTCCTGGAGGCCTCTCGGGCACTCTGGCAGCCATCCGGCGCGCTCTTGGGGCACTCTTGGGCGGACTCGGAGGCCCGGACCCGCTGGGGGGGCGGACTCGGAGGCCCGGGGGCAGCCACAGGGGCCTCCCAGGAGGGGACAACGGGCAACCTGGGAGACGTCGTGGGCCGTCTTGGAGCGTCGGAAGCTCGAAAAGGGGAAACTGCCGAAAACACGCAAAAACCAAAGGAGAATCAATGTTCTTTGGTTGTCGGGGCTGTTTCTGGGGTCCTCTTCGGGCGCACGTTGTGCTTCTGGGGAGCCTGTTGGCCCGTCTTGGGGCTACCTTGAGCGTCTCGGAGCGTTCTGGGTGGTCTCTCGGAGCGTCCTGGAGGCCTCCCGGGCACTCTGGCAGCCATCCGGCGCGACCTTGGCACACTCTTGGGCGGACTCGGAGGCCCGGGACCCGCTGGAGGGGCGGACTCGGAGGCCCGGGGGCAGCTGGAGGGGCGCCCCGGGAGGGAGCCACGCCCTATATACAAGGGAGGTTCCGGCCCGGGGCCTGGGGCCGGGGATCTCCCATATATATATATATATATATATATATATATATATATATATATGCAAATATCCGCATCCATTTTGGCTCAAGGTGTGCCAGGCGGGTTGGCCCTTGAGTTAGTTGTAAGCCTACAGCGACGCTGCACCAGCGTGCAGCATTCCTTTAAGCGTTCGACCTCGGCGACTCTCATGCCGGCATGGAGCGCGCACCGGCGCGGTGGCGGGCATGGCGGCAATGGCTGGGGCCCAGCGGCCTCGGGGCACTCGCACGACTGGAAGAAGGATCCGTCGGGCCGCTGGCAGTGCGTTGGGGCGCCGCCACCCCCGTGGACGCACGAGTCCAAGGCCAACCGCGCATGGACTTGCAAAGGCTGCGCAGGCACGAATCACACGCGGAATGCCTGCAGCACCTGGGACCTGGGGCATGAGACGGACATATTCGGAGGTGGTGTCCACGACCAGCTCCACGCCAGCTGCCGACAGCGCCCCTCCAACGTCGGGCAATCCGGCGGCAAAGCAGTTGGCCGCGGTCGCGGCGGCACTCGCGGCGGCCTCTCCGACGCTGCCGCCGCCAACATCTCCGCCCGGTGCGACCCCAGCTCAGCCTGCGGATCCGCAGCCAGCCGAGGCGACGCCCCAGACATCGGCACTTCCGCCCACGCGGTCCGGACACTTGGCAGCTGGAGGTGGCCGTGGCTTCCATGACATCTCCGTTGATGGCATCAGCCAAAGCGGACTTGGATGGGGCGCTTAGCGGAGAAGCGGGCCGAGCTGCAAGCGCCGCCGCCCATTGGCCACCGCCTGGACAGCGCCCGGGCTGCCCTCGAGCGCTCTCGGAAGAGGCGCGAGCAGGCCGAGGAGGCGCTCGCTTGGCCCAGACAGCGATGACCGCTGCAGCCGAGGAGGAGAACCTGACCGCGCAGCTCGCGGAGCTCGGGGCGTCGGTCGGCGCCGAAAGGCCAGGTCCCGAGATGACCATGGCTGCGTTGGGCGAACAGCTCACGGCCGCGGTCCAGCAGGCCCGCTCCTTCGCAAGCGTGGATCCGTCGGCGGGCGAGGAGGCGCAGCGCGAGTCCGAGACGCTGCTGGCCCGCTCCCAGGCGACTCTCCAAGCTGCCCAGGCTGCTACGCAGGCTGCCAAGGCCAACATGCGCAGGAGGCTCAACGGCAAGCAGCCCGCGCAACCCCCCGTGGAGCCACCGATACCGTTGGACCGGCGGCCCCACAAGAAGCAGAAGGTCCAGACCCACCTCGACGCGTGGTTCACCCTAAAGGCCCCCGGTGCAGCCTGTGGTCGTGGCGGCGCCACCGTCGCGCCCTACGCCCTCCCTGAGCGGGTCTACCGCCCCCCCCCCGCACTGAGCGCCGACAGCGAGCGCTGCGTGCCAGCGAAAATGGAGTTCTCTGGCGGGCCTCCCGCGAAAGTGCTCGACGGGCTCGAACTTGTTGTTGATCGGCAGCACTGGCCCGTGGAGGTGGAGGAGCTCGGCGGGGGCGCCTGGGTGGGCTAACCCGATGCGCTCGGTGTATGAGCCGCGGGTCAGCTCCTCAACCTTCTCGGCCCCGAGCTCCACGTCGCTCTTCTTGGCGAGCTCCTGCAGCTTAGCCTTGAAGCTCGGCATGAGCCAGAAGAAGTCCTCGGGCGGCCCTCCGCGGTTCTCGAAGATGTCGCGCACGCGCTCGTCCGTCGCGACGTAGGTCTTGAAGAACACCGCCACGGCCAGCTCGATGCGCCGCTCGTCCTTCTCGTTGAAGACGCGGCCGTACTCGATGCCATTGTGACACCAGCCTTGGCGCGCCATCTCCAGCACGGTTTGCTGGGCGTTGCTTGACCGCGACGCGCTCTCGGCCTTGAAGTAGCAGCTCGTCATCCTCGCTGCATCCGTGCCTTGCGCGCTCGACTGGCGCTGGCGCATCTCGGCGATGGAGACCTTCTCGGCGACGTAGGTCAGCTCCTCGAAGATCTTCTCGTTCTGCTTGGCCACGAACGCGAGAATATCAGTCGAGCTTGGGCTCGGCGCCGCCGCGTGCTTCAGCGGCTCGACGGGGAGGCTCGCGGCAGCTGCGCGCTCGGCGGGCTGGGCCGTCGCCGGGGCTCGCGACGCAGTCAGGGGTAACGGTGCGAGGGGATAGGCAGTGGGGAGGGGGGACATCGACCTGGAATCGGCGATACATCGCCGATGTATCGGCGATGCGCGCCCGATGCATCGGCGATGTATCGCATACTCCTGGTCGATCCCCCCCAACAAAAACAAATATGCCTATGCATCGGCGATGCATCGCCGATGCATAGGCATGCCTGTCCCCCCCTATCGCTGCCCCTGGGGAGAAGGGGCCCGGCGCCTCGAAGAGGCTCGAAAGCTTGGAATCCCGGCAACTCGGGGAAGCGTGGGCCTAGGCAGCTGCGGGGGCAGAGGGGGGGAGGAGGAGGAGGAGGAGGAGGAGGAGGAGGAGGAGGAGGAGGAGGAGGAGGAAGAGGACGAGGAGGAGGACGAGTAGGAGGAGCCACGAACCGTGCGTGGGGTGCGCTAAAAAGTCATTCGCTTAACTGACTAACTAACTCCAATGCTCTGCCTGCTCGAAAAAACGCATGCACAATCAAAGTCAAATTGGTCCCTATGGCCCTGCCACACGTTCCTGACCCGGAAACGGCTAAGACAATTATAATCCCATGGTCTTGCTGCACGTTCGTAACGTGGGCAAACTGAACAACTGAGAATCCCACAGCCCTGCCACACGCTCGAGATTGCGGAAGCTGGTGTGGTGAGATCACCATGGCCATGTTCAGCGTTTTTGCTGTTGTTGCTATCAACATGATACGATCGCAATTTCGATCCCCGCAACTTTCCCATGGATTCTAAAGTTCGGCCTCCGCGCCTTCCCCACACATAGATCCCTGTGGTCGGGGATGACAAAATAGAGGGGGGAAGGGGAGGGGGTATTATATTATCGCCCGCGCTCGGTTATCCCCACAATCTGGGCGAGAACGCACCCGTGGTGCACCCCTTGGCGCCCAAAGGTGATGACTGCTACAACGCGATGGCCACAACCTGAAAACACACGTCTAACTTCCAAGAGCCATCTGTTCGCAGGGGACGCTCCCACAAATCTGGGCGCCAACGGGCAAGTGTCCGACCCTCTGACGGCCTCCCTCCCTCTCTGGGGTGCCCAAGTGTATCACTCCCGGCACACTCCTGTAGAACCGATCATACAAACATAAACAACGACAACAGCAGCCAAGTCATCAAAGGAAACCACCTTTCAAATTATAACAACGAGCTGATCAAATCGGTTACCCGCCACCCATAAAATGCTGATAACGGGCGAAACTGAGAGACTTAACCGCAAGGTATACTTCAACACAGTGCGAAAATCGGCCGACGTGTGTGAGACGCTGTCGTCGTCTTCGTCGTCGTCGTCGCCAGTACGCAATCCCGCCTCTTGGGCCATCTTGGGGCGATCTCAGGGGCCTCTTGGGACGTCTTGGACGCTGGTAGGACCAAACAACCGATGTGCTAGACACATACGGTTTCCTAACATATTGGCACGATCTTCGCACCTTGGGGCCGTCTTGGGGGTCCTCTTGGAGCCGTCTTGGGGCGCCTTGGGCCGTCTTGGACTCCCTTGGGACTTATCTGGAAGCTCTGGGGGGTCCCGAAGGGACTCCGCGGAAGCTCCGGGGAGGCTCAGGGGAGGCCCCGGGAGGGTAGGGGGCCCTCAGGTGATTCTGGGTGACCCTGGTGTGCTGCAGCCCCAGGGCCTCTGGGAGTAGGGTTCCGACGTATGAAAAAAACTAGAACCACGCGCGCGCGCTGCGCGCGCGCTTTGGTTCTAGCAAGATGTGGCCACGGTCTAAGGTTCGCAGCATCGGAGCGCAGAAAGACTTCTACCAATCATGATCAATCGGCAAGCCGTACCCTCCCTCTATGCCCCCTACGGATGCATGCCATGAACCTCAATCGACCTTAATCCTGCACTCTCCTCTCAGCAAGCCCTCTCAATGCCCTTCCGTTCCAGACCCCTTTCTGGTGGACCAGAGGAGCTGTTGCTGGCGCGGTGGACGAATTCCACTCGGCATGCAACGCGAAAAAATATGTTCGTTATCGACGCGGTGGACGTGTTCCACTCGGCGTGCAACAATGAACATACAGCTGGCCGCAGGTCGAAAAAGGATTCCGCATGATCCCACTTCAGCTGGCTGCATACCCTTTTTTTCATGTCCAGAGGGGCGCCTGGAGAAAACAGCGCACACACGCACAGCAGCAGCTCATGTGTCCACGGGGGGGGGAGGTGGGGGGGCGGGCCCCAGTGCTTAGTCCCCCCGCTTGAAGCAGCCGCTAAAAGCTGCCAAGATCTGGTCTTTGGGGAGGGGGGAGCGGGGGCCCGTGCCGATCGGCGGAACAAGACATGAGAAACAACTACCTCTCAAGACGGCTCAATGGGTCCGATTTCGGCACACCACTCACGCACTCTACGCCTACCTAAGGCCCAGACGACCCAGAACCTCCAAGGCCCACCTGGAGCAAACCCAATGCCACCTGCCCAATGCTTGCCCACGGACCCCCAGGCCTGCCCAAGGTCAGCCCGACGGCCTATCCAATGCCTGCCTCAGGCCTACCTGGCGGCCCTTCAAGAGCTGATACATGGCCTACCCAGAGCCCAGTGAAGGCCCGCCCGCGACCTAGCCAAGGCTTATCACAGATTTTTCCAAGACCTACACAATTTTTACGTCTCGCCGACCACATGCGAGCACCATAACGAATATGAACACCCAGAATGCGCGCGATCACCGTGCCCGCCCGCGCTCGGCTTACAACCGCCACGAAAATCTTAACAACGATGGGCTGTCGTGCAGGGTTCTATGGTGCGCCCATCGTCGTCGTGCAACCGCCGCGCAAAATTTGCCAACACTGGGCCACTCTACTCCATAGGTTTGAACGGTACGCGCCAAAAAAAAACGGCAACGAAATAATCGATCCTTCGGTCACCCCAGTACAGCGGCGACTGCTGGGACTGATCCAAGTATTCGCTTTCTTCGTGGCGGCCCTGAAAAAAAGCACGCCCACCTCAAAAAGCCAGCGTCTCGCGTGAGATATCCCCGAATGCTGGGCGCCAACGGGCAAATGTCCCACCCCGTGGTCGCTCCCCATTGTGGCGCCCAGCAACGTTTGTTGCGACATCGCGAACACCACGCGGCCCTGAAAAAGACGCGCCTACATCCGTGAAACAAGCGAACCGCTGGAGACATCCCCACAATCTGGGCACGAACCGGTAAATGACCTAATTATCCCCTGGCGGTACCCCCTTGTGTTGCCCAAATGCTATGCCTGTCGCATCGCGATGATTATGATCGTGATATGGAGAAGGAGGGATGAGGAGGAGGAGGAAGAGGAAGGAGTGAATAGACGGAGGCGCGACAAGGCCAACAATAATTCACGGCGCAAAGCGTGGAAATAAACACCGCAACATACTCCACGAGACGTGCAACTGCCTGCACAATGATCCGTTATCACCGTCGGACCCTTGCTCCGCACGCGTTCGACGGAAACTGGCGGTTAAACTGGCCAAACATGCCGGGATATCGCTCCGATTTTGACTTCCGTCGAACGTGCGTTTGCTTCGCCCATGCCGTCCAGCCCCCCCATCAGAACCAAGAAAGCCGGTTTCTGCTGAGACATCCTCACGATTCGCTCTTAAACTGGCCACGGCGCGCAGGTGACGCTGGCGGTGTGCTGCCCGCGCCGAGGCGAGAACGCCGTTTGGACGGACGTTCGGCCACTGTACGGAAGTTCGGCCGCATAGTAGGACATGACATTGATATTTCCCGCCGGAGACACATCAACCTGGCGCGCACTTATCTGGTCGATTGCCCACGGGTGCCCAGAGACCGCCTCAAAACGGCCGCACGACGCCCCAAGCCCGTTCAAAGACGGCCCAGCGGACTCTCTTGGCCCTCTCTTGAATCCTGGTGGGATTTCTTGGGGCCCTTTTGGGCCGACTCCAGAACAGCTGGGGACGTTTTTGGGGTCCTCTTGGGCCGTCTTCGGGCCTTAGGATGGGGGGGGCAAAGAGGGGCCAGGCGGAGCGAAACAAACAATTGTCTCCGAAGCAAGCAGATAGAATCCGAGGTTGGGAAAGAGATCGAGGTGACCAAGAGACCCCCCGCCAAGAGATCATTTTCGGTTTCGTGTTCGTGTCGTGCGTGTGGGCGAGGCGAAGCTGCGCTGGCGGGCGAGAGGAATGAACCTGCCGTGCTTCAGGCAAAACCGGACCAGATTCTGCTGCGCCCCCCGGTTGGCCAGCGGTGGCCCGGGGGTGTCCCGCGGTGTCCCGTGGTGTGATAGAATCCGAGGTTGGGAAAGATCGAAGTGAACAAGAGACCCCCAACCAGGAAATCGTTTTCGGTTTCGTGTTCTTGTCGCGAGTATGGGCGAGGCGAAGCTGCGTCGGCGGGCGAAAGGAATGAACCAGCTGTTCTTAAGGCAAGACCAGGCCAAATTTTGCTGTGCCCCCGGCTGGCCAACGGTGGACTGGGGGTGTCCCGCGGTCCCGTGGTGTCCCCCCCCCGGTTGGCCGGCGGTGGCCTGGGGGTGTCCCGCGGTGTCCCGCGGTGTCCCGTCGTGACTGGTGCTATGCGATGCTGTGCTATGCTATGTTATGCTATGCCATGATGTACCATGCTACGCTATGTTAACAATGCGATGCTAAGCTGTGTGGTGCGATGCGATGCGGTACTACGCTATGCGATGAAATGTTATGCTATCCTACGCTATGCTACGCCATGCTGTGCTGTGCGATGGCACGCTGTCATGCGCGATGCGATGCTATGCTATGCTCTGCTATGCGATGCACCACACGCAGCCACCCTTATCACCCGAGGGGGTGGTCGTACATGTAGGCATGCACCGACAGGATCCCGCGGCCAGAGACGCAGCCGACCTCCCTCGGCCAGGGGCAGCGCCTCGCGCGAGAGATCCCCGCAATGCTCGGCGCCAGCGGGCAAAGCGTCCCACCCCGCGGTCGCTCCGCACTTGCGAGGCGGGGATCTATCCACATCCACCGCCTGGGAACCGACGTCCCGGTGCCCCAGCGAGCGGTGGACATGGATATATTTCGGCCCCCGGGGGCCCGAATACGTCCATATCCACCGCTTGCCGAGGCTCCGAAAACTGACCCTCCAGGCGGTGGTCATGTATAAATTCCCGCCTGGGACCACTGTGGCGCCCAACAGCGGCTGTTGCGACATCACTAACACCACGCGGCACTGAAAAAGATGCGCCTACATCCGTGACACAAACGAACCACTGGAGATATCCCCACACTCCAGTAAGTGACCTATCCCCTGGCGGCCCCCCCTTGTGCTGCCCAAGTGCTATGCCTGTCACATCGCGATGAGTATGATCGCGATATGTAGAAGGAGGGAAGAGGAAGAGGAAGGAGTGAATAGACGGAGGCGCGACAAGGCCAACAATAATTCACGGCGCAAAGCGTGGAAACAAACACCGCAACATACACCGCAACATACTCCACGAGACGTACAACTGCCTGCACAATGATCCGTCATCACCGTCGGACCCTTGCTCCGCACGCGTTCGACGGAAACTGGCGGTTAAACTGGCCAAACATGCCAGGACATCGCTTCGATGTTACCTTCTGTCAAACGTGCGTTTGCTTCGCTCATGCCGTCCAGCCCCCATCTGCTGAGACATCCTCACGATTCGCTCTTGAACTGGCCACGGCGCGCAGGTGACGCTGGCGGTGTGCTGCCCGCGCCGAGGCGAGAACGCCGTCTGGACAGAGACAGACTTTCGGCCATTGTACGGAAGTTCGGCCCACATAGTATCTACGAGGGTGCCTTGACCCCTCCCCCTTTCCCGGAGGTGGGGGCGCGAGGCATTGGAGCCCCCGAGGTCGCCCAAGATGGCTCCGGGAGGGCCTCAGAGACCCCACGGCCTCCAAGATGGCTCAAGATCACTCAAGAGATAGCCTCCGACGAACATCCAAGAGGCCTCCAGACAGCCCCAAGTCGAATTCAAGTGCCCTCCGAGCCCTCCAAGCACCCCCCCAAGAGGCAAACATGGCTCCAAAAACTAAGGACAATTCATGAGTTTTGCCTTCTCGACTTTTCGCTTCCGATGGGCCTCGGAGGCCTCAATATGACCCCAAGATGGCCCAAGAGAGCCCCAAGAGCGCCCCAAGACGCCTCCGATGGGGGGGGACCTGAATGTACGCCTCCCCTCTTTTTGAACAGTAAACCCAAAATTGCTTCCTGAGCCCCCCGAGACCTCCCCAAAGAGCCCCACGAGTTCCCCTAGACCCCCCAAAAGAGCCCCAAGAGGGCCCCCAGAGTGCCCCAAGTGGCTCCGCGAGGACCCCAAGAGAGACCCAAGATGGCTCAAAGAGACCTCCAAGAAAACACTTCCAAAGCGGTTGTTACACGGCATGCTTCTACACTTCCCTGATCAAGGCAACTCGCCTGGCGATCTGTCTCTGGATGGGCTGGTGGGGGTACTTTTTTGATTGCGACCGCAGGCGGGCACCCGCGCGGCGTCAGAAAGGTCGAACTACAAGCGGGAGCCGGTGAACACAGAGATGGTGGGGTACGCGAAGCGTCAAGAATTCAAAATTCGAACGCATGGGCAGTCCGCCACTTTGGGACTGCTCGGTCTCGCTGGCAAGCGCATAGGCAGTCCGCCCCTTTGGGACTGCTCGGTCGTGCTGCAAAAGATCAGGAGCGGCCAAGAGGGGGGTGTGACTCCTGCAGTAGCCCAGCAGAGCATTGCACAGTGACCAGGGGATTGTAGCAATTTCGGTCCCCAGGGATTGTAGCAGTTTCAGCAATTTCGGTCCGCAGGGGACTGCAGCAAATTCGGTCCGCAGGGGTTTGTAGCAATTTCGGTCCCCCGCAGTTCTCCGTAAACGCGACGGCTCAAGAGAGCGCGAGCTCCGGTTGATAAGATCATCTGTCGTGGTAGCGCGAGTTGCCTGAGCCCGCGCGTCCTCCCCGAGCGCGAGCCCCCACGCGCAGGAACATGGGTGGAGGCGCAGATGCAGCAGGTCTTGGCGAGGCTGCAGCAGCTGGAAGGCGAGAACCAGCGCCTGCGCCAGGAGGTGCAACAAGCCAGCCAGGCCGCAGCCCAAGCGGCGGCAGCGCAGCAGGCGGCAGGGCGTCCTGAGGTCGGCGAGATCGCGCAGGCGATTGCTCAAGCCCTACGTGAGGGACAGCCGGCTCAGCGGCGCGGAATGATCGAGAGTAAAGGCTCGAACAAGCCACCAGCGTTCAAAGGAGAAGAGGATAAATACTTGGTCTGGGCTAGGAAGGTCGAGAATTTCGTGGCCGCGACCTACAGGGAAGCGAGAGACATGATGAGTATGGCAGCTGGGCAAACGGTGATGGTGTCGTACGCGGCCTTGATGGGCCCAAACGACGACAGGTTCGACCGGCAGCTGCTCGAGGAGGTAGACGACCAGTTGTTCGTGGTCCTGAGCTCTTTGTGCGAATCAGATGCGTTTGACATTGTCAACAGCGCTGGCGCGGGGAACGGCCTGGAGAGTTGGCGCCGTCTCAGCAAGAGGTACGACCCCAGAACAGGAGGACGGAATAGATCGATACTGAGGGACATCATGGACCCAGGCAGAGCGAAGATCGGCGAGCTGCAGAGCGCCATCGAGAGGTTTGAGGAGATGATGAGGAGGTACGAATCTCGACGGGACAATGCAGGTGTGCGCAGAGTGCTCGCTGACGATGTGAAGTTTTCGAGCTTGGAGGCTATGTTACCGGAAGAGTTGGAGAGACGCGTCCAGCTGAACAAGGCGCGGATCACGACCTACGACGAGTTGCGAGAGGAAGTGGTTAGCTACGCCGAACTGCGCAGCGAGAAGAAAGTCAAGCCGTCCAAGCCCTCTAAGCCGGAGAAGGACGAGAATGCCATGGACGTCGACGCGCTCAGCGGCCATCTTGCGGCACTGTGGCGACAAGGTCGCGGCGCTGGCGGTGGCAGAGGCAGCGGCGACCCCAAAGGCAAGGGTCGAGGCGGCCACAACTACTGGGACAAGTCCGGAGGCAAGAAGGGCGACAAGGGCGGTAAAGATCCGAAAGGGAAAGGCCGAGACGGAGGAGGCAGAGGCGACAGCAAGAAGATCTTGGGGAATTGCTGGCACTGCGGCAAGCCAGGCCATAAGTCCGAGGATTGCTGGAGCAACCCGAATAAGACTCCAAAAGGCGGCGGCCGAGGAGGCCGCGGTCGAGGTGGAAGCGGCGCCGAAGATGCAGGAGGTAAGGCGCGAGGACGAGGTCGAGGGCGAGGTCGAGGAGGGCAGAACAGCCTCGACACTCACGAGCCAGAACAGGAGAACGACAGTGCAGCCCTCGACTTGTTCACCATGGACATATGTGCTCTCTATGACATGGACTGGTCTGCCATACTGGGCAGCCTCGAGAAGGTTCGCGATGCGGCTTCAGAATAAGGGGAAAACAAACCTACCTCGCTTTTGACCACCCTCGCTTCCAAGAGATACCAAGCGATGCCAAACTACGGCCTATACTGGTCAGGCCGCTTGACGAGGAGGTGCGTGGTATGACTTGGCTCTTCCTGGAAGCGAAAGCGGGGTAGGTAATTCACGCTCTGACAGAAGGAGATCCCACAGACGAGGTTCCCGAACTCCCCGGGAAGATTGTAGCAATTTCGGCCCGGGGGAGCCTGTAGCAAAAAGGGCCCCGCCGGCCCCAGGAGTCGCCGGAGCGCGAGCACGCAGGCACAGGGAGAAGCTCGGGGCGACGGAGGAGTGCAGCAGCTCGTGCTGCGCCGAGAACGCGGCCGAGAAGGCGGAGTTCGACGTTGTCGGCATCAGCAGCTTCGAGAGCGCCGAGTGGGTCAAGGTGAACTTCGACACCGGGTCGGCAAGGACGTGCTTCCCGACCGAGTTCAAGGGCGGCAAGGACATGCCCAGTCAGAAGGCGCTCGGCTTCAAGACGGCGACGGGTGAGATCGTCCACAGCAGCGGCGTGTTCCAGTACAAAGGACAAGACGAGTACGGCCAGGTGATCGGACTCAAAGGAGTTCGAGCGCCAGTCCACAAACCCCTCCTCTCAGCTGGAGAGGTGACCAGCAACAGCAATGACGCATACCTCTGTGGAGATGTCGGGTACATCCTCCACAAAGACTCGCCAGTTCGAGCTGAGCTGCGAAAGGCGTCCCACGAGCTGTGCTACCAGTACGACTACGAAGGGGTCATCGAGATGGTCAAAGAGAGGAACGTCTTACAACTTGTACCTTCGGCCGACCAAGGAGGAGCAGAGGGGCGACCTCTGTCCCAACGATGCCGACGAAGGCGCGCCGGTTCTCCGGCGGCAGGGTCGGCGCCCGTGAGTCCGAGGGACGGGCGCGGCGGCGGAGCTGCGGCCGCCGAGCCCGTGGAGGGCGAGGGGCAGCACGAGGTGGTGGGCGACGAGCAGGAGAGAGCGCGCCTGCCACACAGGATCCCGAAACCTTCGCAACAGGAGATTGAGGATCACGAAGCTGGAGGCCATGCGTCCTTTCGGACGTGGTGCGCCGACTGCGCGGCTGGGAAAGGTCAAGCGAATCCACATACAACGACATGCGAGAAACCGGAGATCCCCGAGATCAACCTCGATTACGGGTTCATGGGCACCGTGGAGGTGGAGTGCGCGCCGATGTTGATGGGGCGCGAGACGGAGCTGGGCAACTATTGTGGGACCACCGTGCCAAGGAAAGGTGCCAACCAGTACGTGGTGTCATACCTGGTAGGATGGATAAGAGGACTTGGGTTTAAAAGAATTGTGGTGAAGTCAGATAACGAGAGCTCGCTGTTGAAGGTGATCGACTTGGTGAGCCAGAACCTACCGGGCATTGAAATTGTTGTCAAGTCAAGTCCAGAAGGAGATCATCAGGCTAATGGTGCAGCCGAAGCAGCAGTGCGAGAAGTAAAGAACCAGGTAAGAGTGCTGTGACTGGAGCTTTATCGGAAGTATCGGAGGAAGATCCCCGAGCAGGCGGCTATCCTCACTTGGCTTCCGAGGTATGCGGCGAACAGCATCAATCGATATCGTATTGGCAAAGATGGCAGAAGCGCTGAGCATCGACGATGTGAACGACGGTGGAAGAGGCCGACCGTGCTCTTCGGCGAGCGGACGCACTTCAGACCTACTCAGACGAAAGCAAACACCAAAGACGGACGAGCAGAGCCGAGGATGAAGGACGGCATCTTCGTGGGGCACCACGAGAGGACCGGAGCGAACTTGTTTCTCACTCCCGATGGTGTGATGCGAGGCGTTGGAGCCCATCGTCGGCCGCCAGACGAAAGGTACGACTTCGACTACCTGATTTCGTGCATCGGGCATCCGTGGGAAGCCCGACAAAAGCCGGCAAGGGGTGGGGGAGCCGAGGCAGAGCGAGCTCCGCCAATGGTCGGACCCAGCGACGTCGCGGACGCGCTGGTCATGCCGCGGCCTGCGGCAGCGCCGGCAGGGGCTGGCGGCGATGGAGGAGGAGCAGCAGCAGCACCAGTGCAGCCTGCTAACCCAGGGAGCTGGAGAGGCTTCTATGTCATGAGGTCTGACATCGAGAGGTTCGGGACATCTCCTGGCTGCGTGGCCTGCGAGAAGGCCTTGCTTGGGTTGCCTAAGACGATGGGGCACATACCGAGTTGCCGAGACCGCATCCTGAAGTTGCTGAAGGAGAGCACCGAGGACGCGGACGTCGTGAGGCTCGAGAACTTCGAGGCCAGGGTCGACAATTTGAAGAGGAAAGCCGATGGAAGCTTTGTGGAGAGATCGTCAGCACCCGCGGCGACGAGAGCGAGAAGAGACGAGGCTCAAGGTGACGAGGCGATGCCTGGCGCACCGGGAGCAGATGATGCATCTGCCAGTGGAGCTCAGCAAGAGGCACCGCAGGAACTAGAAGAAAGACCCCGACAAGAAAGCGAGGACAGAAGACCCTACGAAGTACGAGCACGACAGCCACGACGAGGGCGAGAGCAACCGGAGGCTTCGACTCCCGTGGCCAAGGCGCGCGCCGAAGCGGCGCGAGGGAAGAAGAGGCATGGTGAGGAGGCGGACGATGCTGGGCGAGCAGCAGGTCCTGAGGAGCCTCCCCACGCGGACGCCGACGTGAAGTTGAGCGTTCCGGTGCCCATTGCACCAGCGGCGGAAGGAAGTTCGAGTTCGGCGTCTGGGGCACTACCGCCAGGACAAAATCGCCCCCGGGATGATTGTAGCAATTTCGGCCCGGGGGGGATTGTGGCAACTTCGGCCCGGGGTGCCGATGCTGCGATGCCGCCGCCAGAGGCCGACGCCAGGTCGTTGAGCTACGGCAAGCAGGAGATGATTCCGAAGACAAAGGAGCACCTACGCAGGTCTATGCGACATCACCGATTGGACGCAAGCGAGGAGGACATCAACGATATGGCCTGGTGCTTGTGTGCTCTGAGCGCTGCAGACGTCGCGGAGATCTACAACCCGAACAAAATCGGCAGGCATGCTCGGAACTACGGCATGAGAGCCGGGTTCGCGATCGACTTGACGACGAAGAAGACGAATGGCGAGTACTGGGACATGATGCGAGAACGAGACCGACTGGAGTTCAAGAGGATGCAGGAGATGGATGAGCCGAAGATCCTGATAGGGAGCCCACCATGCACGGACTTCTGCCAGCTTCTGAAGATGAGCTTCACCGACGCCGAGATCCAGGAGAGGCGAAGCACTGGAGGAGACGTCCATATGCGTGAGGCGATTGCAGGATATCGTCGACAGATGTCGTCATTTTCTGCACGAACACCCCACGAATTCCGACAGCTGGAAGGTGAAGGAAATGGTCGAGCTGATGAAGGACCCTCGGGTGATCAAGGTGTCTGGGCCCATGTGCAACTGGGGCCTCACCGCGACTGACGAGCACGGCGTTGGCTACGTCAGGAAGGCGACCACGTGGCTCACCACGTCGGCGGAGTTGGCTAAAGTCTTGAAGGGCGTGTGCGCCAACTACCGAGGAGGGCCCATGCACCGACACGTTCATCTCGTAGGAAATCGCGGACATGCAGCGGCCTCGTACACCCCGCAGCTGGTGCGAGCCATCCTGAAGGCGTGCAGGAAGCAGTTGGAGATCGACAACGACAGGAGCGTGCTGCATGCTTTCAGTGCTGGACCGGTGCCAGACGAAGTGGAATGGTGGGAGCGCGAGGAGAACGGCGACGAGGTGATAAAGGCTTGGGACGACATCAACAACGAGGAACTCGACCCAGAGAAAGTGCAGGAAGCTCGCCAAGAAGATCTAAGGTACGTGGATGGACCACCGCCAGTGTTCATAGCAGTGCCCGAAAAGGAGTGCAACGAGAAACAGGGCAAGCCGATCACGATGAAGTGGATTGACACGCGCAAGAACTGAGGACGATCTGGATCAAGACTGGTGTGTCGCGAAATCAAGACGGCGAAAAAGGCTGAGAATCGGCTCGACCCTTCGGACGTGTTTTCGGCGATGCCGCCGGTCGAATCGCTGAAGTTGCTCATCTCTGAGTGGATGACAGAGGACGACGGTCACGACCACCGCGACTACGTGATGGCAACGTTCGACATCAGCTGGGCGCATTTCGCGGCCGAGCAGAACAAGAGGGAGGTCTACGCGACGCTTCCAGAAGGACGAGAGAAGCCTGGATATGTGGCCAAGCTGGTGCGCGCGATGTACGGCACGGAGGACGCGGCGAACCTATGGGGCGAGACGTGGTCGAAGCAGCTGGAGGCGAACGGCATCAGAGTGGGCGTGGCATCCAGGGCGCTATACCGAGGTCCGCGACATCGTGGACTCTGCCACGGCGACGATTTCGTGGTGCTGTGCAGGAGAGGCGACCTCGATGAGTTCAAGGGCATCCTTGAGCAGAAGTTCGAGGCAAAGTGTGGCGCGATCCTGGGCTTCGAGCACGGCGACGACAAGGTCATGGACATCCTGAATCGGGAGGTCCGCATCGTGAATGACGAGTACGTGGAGCTCGAGGCCGACCAGAGGCACGTGGACAAGATCCTGAAGGAGCTGGAGCTTGAGAAGTGCAACGTGGTGGCCACCCCCAGGGTCAAACTGAGCGACTCCGAGTGGAAGGCGCGAGAAAACTCGGACTACCTGACCGGCAAGGAGGTGACGAAGTACAGGAGTTGCACGATGAGGATGAAGTACATCGATCAAGACCGCCCCGACATCGTAGAGAGCGTCAAATGCCTGGCGCAGCACATGGCAAAGCCACGGCAAGGCCATATGCAGGAGCTCAAGAGGTTGGCGAGGTACTTGGAGGGCAGAAAGCGCATGGTGCTAACGTAAAAAGTGCAGAAGCATGACTGCCAGCTGAAGTGTTTCACTGACTCCGATTGGGCTGGAGACCTGTCGGCAAGAAGGAGTACGAGCGGCATGATGTTGATGAGAGGCAAGCGTCACATTCGAGCCAGTGCGACGTTGCAAAGTTTGACGGCGACGAGCTCTGCAGAAGCAGAGTATTACGCTATGGCCAAAAGAGCTGCATACGCGTTGGGAACACAGTCATATCTACGTGACATGGGGAGGATAACTCAAGTAGAGTTGCACACCGACAGTTCTAGTGCACGATCGTTCTCAATGAGGTGAGGACTTGGTAAAATGCGGCACATTCAGACCAGATGGCTCTGGTTGCAAGAGAGTTGCGCACAAACACTTGAAGATCTTCAAAGTGCCGGGCGAGGACAACCCAACGGATATCATGACAAAGTCTCTGACCACCAAGGTTATGGACCGGCACTTACGGAGGATCGGGGCCGACAAGGTTACCGCATAGTTGAATGGGGGCTACATGAGATCCGTGGACCGCCACTACTCCGCTACCCAGGAGACGAGCGAGACGCTGGAGAGCAGGAGCATTCCTGACATTGTGAGCCTGTTGCGGCAGGCGCGAGCGGCGTGACTCCTGCAGTAGCCCAGCAGAGCATTGCACAGTGACCAGGGGATTGTAGCAATTTCGGTCTCCAGGGATTGTAGCAATTTCGGTCCCCAGGGATTGCAGCAATTTCGGTCCGCAGGGGATTGTAGCAAATTCGGTCCGCAGGGGATTGTAGCAATTTCGGTCCCCCGCAGTTTTCCGTAAACGCGACGGCTCAAGAGAGCGAGGGCTCAGGTTGATAAAATCATTTGTCAGGGTGTCCAAAAGGGGGGGGGGCAAATCATCACCGGCGGCACGTGCGCGGCCCAGCGGGGGGACCAGGGACGTACTGAGATAAGAAGGGGCGCCGTAAAATCTGAGGAAATATCATGGCCCCCGCCATGATATCCACCCCCCCCTTTGTCCTCACCCCCCTCTTTGCCGCCCCCGAAAAGAGGCCCCCGCTCCCTGCATGAGCTGGGCCGAAGAGAGAGAAGTGAGAGGGCGCGGCGGCCCGGGGCGCGCCCTCGCCGTGCACGGCGTGCCGGGCCCCAGGCCACGCAGGACCCCGCGTGGCGGTCGTCGCCTACCGCCCCAGGCGGGTCACGCACCGGCGCCTTCTCACCCGCTGCTTTGGCCCACCTCCTGGCGTTCTCCCTCCGCACGTCAGCTGCGCCCGCGGCGCCCGCCACTGTCTCCCCCCCCTGCCCGCCCACGCGGCCAACTCCCGCTGTGCCGCCGCGTGGCACCACGTCTAGATCCGCGCGATGCCCGCGACGCAGGGCCCATTCGCAGAAGGCATCTATGCACCACCACCGTGCCAGACCAGGGCCATCCTGGGCCCTAGGATGGTGTATACGCCCTCCTGGCCGAGCCAGGAGGGTCTATACACCATCCTACGGCCCAGGATGGCCCTGGTCTGGCACGGCGGTGGTGCATAGATGCCTTCGTCGGAGGCCTAGAACATCGCATCGTCGCCCTGCCCTGGGATGTACTCTCTCTCGAACATGTCCAGGAACTCGCACGGGTAGCACCTTGGGCCAGTGTGGTACCGCGCGTCCTCGTCGGTGGAGAGTGGCACGGTCCAGCTGCTGAAGAAAATCCGTTCTCCGTTTCCACAGGACACGCGCTGAGCAGCCTGGGGGCTCAGCTTTTCGTATAGTGGCCAATACTTGGTGATCTGCCCTTTCAGTGTGTTTTTCTTGAGGTCTGGAGTCCAAAACTGGCCCGTATTGTCGCTGCCGATCATAAACCTGTCAGAATGCTTCTCGATGACATCCAACCAATCTTGCTTAATCTCCCCGTTCTCGTCGCAGATCGACTGCTCCCAGACAACCCACGATATGTCGGCGTGCAAGTTGGGGTACTTCGTCATCAGGTCGTCGATGTGGTGAGCCTGGTGCTGATCTGCTGTCTGCCTGCTCACTCCTGCGTGGCACCAGATGAAGATAAGGCTAGGAAAACGATCAAGGACGCTGGTTACCTCAGGAGCGTACTCGAGCCTTCCTGTGCTTTTATGAGCGACGCGGTCGGCATTTGAGTGCACCATCACTGGCAATTGTTTCTCACAACAAAACGTGTAGATGGAGTCCAAAGCTGGGTGGTTCGGAACGGGAACTTCCTTGTTCATCATGGTGCTGGTAAGGTCATCGTGTCTGCACATGATCTCCCCGAGGCCTCGCCACAATCTTGGGTACTTTTCGTAAGTTCGCTTCACATGGTTGATGGAGTTTTTGTCTGTGGGGTCGAAGCCTGATATAAGCGGCGCGAGACGTCTGCGGCTCTTGTCTGGGAGAGCCAACCACGCATCAACCATCATCTGATCGGCGAAGGAGTAGAAGTAGCACGGGGCATTATCGTCGGTGTAGAACAGGGGGCACTCCTTCTGGTTGCTGTTCCACTTCTTGCAGCAGGGAATCCCCAGCAACACCGCCTTCTCCGCCTTGGCCTCGTCGAGGGCCCGCAAAGCGGCGGCGGTACCGCAGCTCTTCTGGGAAAAATCGAAGAGGTGAAAATGACAATCCACGCTCTCCCACTCCTTCTCGGCGGCGGGCCCAGGGGGAAGGCAGATGGGGCAAGCCTTCTCGAAGGCTCAAGCAGAAGGCCTTCTTCTGCCTTCTGAAAAATTGTCTAAGTCCCCCCCGAAGCCACGGAAGGCTTCCCAAAAGGCCGGAGGGCCTTTGAGAGTCACCGCCGCCTTCTGAGAAGGCCTGCCACCTCTCCCTTTTCCCCTCGGCGCGCCGCCAACCTTCTTCCCAGCGGGGGCCAGGCTCGGAGCCTGCGTCGTCAGCGACGACGGGGCCGACTCCAAATGCTTTTGCATCGTGGAGCACTTCCCGGACCCGTAGTGCGCTGCCATGTTGACTCTGGCCTTGTGGTCCTCGTGGAGACCGTCCTCGGGCGCTTCCGGAGTAACGACGGGATGCTGGTCCAACGCGATGCTCGAAAGCGTGCCGTCGTTGGCGCCAGGCATGCCGAACAGACGCGCCGCGTTGCCAAAACGGACAGCACGCGCCACATCCGTACCAAACCGTTCTGCTAAGATGTCAGCAAACTGGTGCAGTCGCCGACACTGTTCCATGTAACCTTTCTTTTCCCACGCGGTCTCTTGTTTTTTTGTGAAATATCCGCGCGCAGTGGTTCCCAGCACCACCCTGTTCGGAAAATTCGCACACAAGCTGATAAAATCGTCCTGCTTAAACGTTGGATGATCGAGAATGCCAGCAGTTACGGATATGTGCACATTACGATGCCCGTTGAGAAACTCCACTAACTTTGCCATGTAACCATCCCAACAGCCGCCCAGGAATCCGCTAGCCCCCTTTGGGCCGCAAGATTATAAGACCCCCTGTGATAGGCTCGTTGACAACATGCTGGAACTCAATTTGAGGAAACTCTTCACAAGACCCGTCCGCTAGAGGAAAGAGAACTATGCACATACACCGATTCCGGTCAGGCCCATCCTGAGCCTAGGATCGGTGCATATGCCCTCCTGCCTTGGCCGGGAAGGCATATGCACCGATCATGCGCCCAAGATGGGCCTGGCCAGACTCGATGCCTGTGCATAGTTCTCTTCGCCCGATCCGCCCCACAGCCTTACTACTCTTGTGGTGCCACTGCCTCAACCAGCATGCATCGCCGAATTCGCATACAGAGAGCACACGCTAGACATGCGTAGAAGACAAGCTCGCGTATACGTGCACATGTAACCGCGCAACCTCCCCATGAAATAGGACCACCTAGGGCTGCCGCGGGAAATGTTGGAGGACGAACTAGCGTGGTTCATGGGAAGAGACGGAACTACTCTTCCGCTTTAGGTAGCAACTCCTGGAAGGTTCTCGCGGGTGAAATGCGGCCAGATGAAGGGCGATTCAGTTGGAGCGAGGCAGATTAAGCTGCAGTCCACAGACAAAAACACCAGCGCCAATACGAAACTTAGACAAAACGCGTTTCACGAGCGCTTGCCTTGGAAACGTTCGGCGGTGCGTTTCGAACCGGGGGGGTGAGCCGCCCCCCAACACTCGACGCCGTCGATCAGAACCAAGGGGCCTCACTCCCCCCACCCCCCCCTCCCGAAGCGAGGCGGGGATGTTCCAAACCCCCCCCCCCACAACCCCCGGCGCCGGCGCCGGCGCCGGCGCTGGCGGCGGCCAGCAGCGCCGACGGCGGGGACGCAGCAACGATGACCAGAGAGGGCTCAGGGAAGGGAGGGAGGGGAGGGCTCCCCCCCCCCTCGGCGATCGCGAGACCGGTGCGGGAGTTCCGAAGAACCCCTCCTGAAACCTTCCTGAGGAAGGTTTTAAGAAGGTTTTTTTGGAAGGTTTTCCCGGGGAGGGGGGGGGGCGAGGAAGGTTTCAGGAAGGTTTTTCGAAATGCTGTCCAAAAACCTTGAAACAACCTGCCAAAAAAACCTTCCAAACACCTTCCAAAAACTTTCCCAAACAACCTTCCAAAAACCTTCCAAAAACCTTGCTGACATAAGCGAAACCGCTTAATACATTCCAGAAGCCTTCCAAAAACCTTCCAAAGACCTTCCAAAAACCTTTCAAAAACCTTCAAAAAAACTTCCAACAACAGTCCAAAAACCTTTCCCCCCCCAAAAAAACAAAAAAAAAACCTTCCTAAAACCTTCCCAACAAAAAACTTCCTGAAACCTTCCTCAGGAAGGTTCCAGGAGGGGCTGGCCCAAAAACCTTCCTAAAACCTCCCTGAGGAAGGATTTAGGAAGGTTTTTTGGAAGGTCTTTATGGAAAAACCTTCTTGCCACCTTCCTAAAACCTTCCTCTAAAAGGTTTTTGGAAGGTTGTTGATAAAACCTCCGTGAAACCTTCCTAAAACGTTCCCCCGGAAGGTTTTGGCAAGGTTTTGTGAGAAAAAACCTTCATGGAACCTTCCTAAAACCTTCCCCAGGAAGGTGTATTGGAAGGTTTTTGTGAACAACCTTTCTCGAACCTTCCTAAAACCTTCCCGAGGGCCCCAGGAAGGTTTTTGGAAGGTTTCTGGAAAAAAATAATCATTCCTGAAACCTCCCTAAAACCTTCCTCGGGAAGGTTTTTGGAAGGCTGTTGGAGAAAAACCTTCCTGGAACCTTGCGAAAACCTTTCCCAGGAAGGCTTCGGGGAAAAACCTTCTTGAACCCCTCCTAAAACCTTCCCCAGGAGGGTCGTTTAAAAGGTTTGTTTGAAGAAAAAAACCCAGGAACCTTCCTAGAATCTTCGCCGGGAGGGCTGTTGGATTTTCTGCTGAAAAAGAAAAATATAATAATACTACTAGTAATAAAACACGTCTTGCAACCTCCCTGAAACCTTCTTCAGGAAGGCTGTTGGAAGGTTTTTGGAGGAAAAAGAACCTTCCTGAAACCTTCCGAAAAACCTTCCCCCGGAAGGATGTTGGAAGGTTGCCAGGAACAAACCTTCCTGGAACCTCCGTAAAACTTTCCCCAGAAAGGTGGTTTGTAAGGTTTTTGGTGAACAAAGAAAAGAAAAGCAAAATGCAGTCCTGAAACCTGCCTCGGGAAGGAGTTTTGGAAGGTTTTTGGAAAAAAAACAAAAAAAAACTCCCTGGCACCTTCCTAAAACCTTCCTCTGGAAGGTGTTTGGAAGGTCGTTGGAAAAAACCTTCCTGGAACATTCCTAAAACCTTCCCCAAGAAGGTGTTTGCACGGTTTCTGGAAAACCCTTTCCCAGGCACCTTTTCTAAAACCTTGTCAGGAAGGTGCTTGGGGCAAGCCTTCCCGGAACCTGCCTAAAACCTCCCCCAGGAAGGTTTTTGAAGGTTATTGGAAAAACACCTTCCTGAAACCTGCCTAACCCCCCATATATATATGTATATATATATATATGTGGGGGTAACCTTGCTGGAACCTCCCTAAAACCTTCCTCCGTAAAGTTTTTGGAAGGTGTTTGGAAAACCCTCTCCTGGAACCTTCCTAAAACCTTCCTCTGGAAAGTTTTCGGACGGTTTTTTTGGGGGGCCTTCTTGAACCCTTCTTAGAGCCGTCCTCCAGAAAGTTGTTGAAAGGTTTTCGGGAAAAACCTCCCTGGAACCTTCCTAAAACATCCCCCAGGGAGGTTGTTGGAAGGCGTTTGGGAAAAACCTTCCTGGAACCCCCCTGAAACCATCCAATGGGGGGTTTTTGGATGGCTTCTGGAAAAGAAAATATTGAAACCTTCCTAAAACCTCCCTCAGGAAGGTCGTTGCAAGGTTTTGGAGACAAGAATGTCCTTGACACCTTCCTGAAACCTTCCTCTGGAAGGTTTTTGGAAGGTGTGTTGTGGAAAACAACCACCCTGAAACCTTCCTGGCGCCTTCCTCGGAAAGGCTCTTGGAAGGTTTTTAGGAAAAAACACCGTCCTAAAACTTTTCTGACTCGGACCTTCCTCAAAAGGTGTTTGGGGAAACCTTCTCGCGACCCTCCTAAAACCTTCCTCGGGGAGGTTTTTGTTTGGGAAGGTGTTTGTGAAAAGCCTCCCTGAAACCTCCCTAAAACCTTTCTCAGGAGGGTTGTTGGAAGGCTTTCTGGAACAACCTTCCTGGAACCTTCCTAAAACCTTCCCCGGGAAGGTTGTTGGGGGGTGTTTGGAAACAAACCGTCCTGAAACCGTCCTCAAACCTTCCTCGGGATGTCTTTGGAAGGTTTTTGGTGAAACAAATTGTAAGCCTTCCTGGAACCTTCCTAAAACCTTCCTCCGGAAGGTTTGGTTGGGAAGTTTTTGGGAAACGCCATCTTGAAATCCTCCTAAAACCTTCCTCAGGAATGCGCCCTCAGGAATGTGTTTGGCAGGATTTTTGGAACAGACATGCCTGGAACCCTCCTAAAACCTCCCCCAGGAAGGCGTTTGGAAGGTTTGCGGGGCAATCCTCCTGAAACCTTGCTAAAACCTTCCCTGGGCAAGTTTTTGGAAGGTTTTCGACGGGGGGGAAACCTTCCTAAAACCTTCCCCGGGAAGGTTTTCGGAAGATCTTTGGGAACAAACCTTCCTGACGCCTTCAAAAAACCCTTCCTGGGACCTTCCTAACACCTTCTCCGGAAGGTTGTTTGGAAGGTGTGTATATATATATAATATATATATATATATATATATATATATATATATATATATATATATAGACATATATATATAACCTTACTGAAACCTTCCTGAAACCTTCCTCAGAAGGTAGTTTGTGAGGTTGTGGCGGAAAAGTTCCTGGAACCTTCCAACAACCTTCCTCGGGAAGGTTGTTGGAAGGTTTTTGGAAACAGAAAAAACCTTCCTGACACCTTCCTAGAACCTTCCTCGGGAAGGTCCCTGCAAGGACTCTGGGAAACAAAAACTTCCTGCAACCTTCCTAGAACCTTCCCCAGGAAAGTTTCTGGAAGGTTGTTAGAACAAAAACCTCCCTGAAACCTTGCTAAAACCTTCAGCGGGGAGGTTTCTTGGAAAACACCCCCCCCTGGAACCTTCCTTCAACCTTCCTCGGGAAAATTTGTTTGGGAAAAACCTTCCTGGAACCTTCCTAACGCCTTCCCCCCGAAGGTTTGCGGGGAAACCTTCCTGAAACCTTCCCACAACCTTCCTCGGGAAGGTGTTTGGAAGGATGTTTGGAAACAACCTTCCTGGAACCGGCCTAAAACCTTCCTCGGGAAGGGTTTTTGTGAGAGGTTGGGGAAAAAAACCTTCCTGACACCTCCCTAAAACCTTCCTCAGGAAGGTTTATTATTATTAGCATTATTAGTCTGATTAAAAAAATGTAAAGAAGTTGTGGGGAAAACTTTCGCGAAGCCTTCCTAAAACCTTCCTCAGGAAGGTTGTTGGAAGGTTGTTGGGGGGGAAAAAAAAAACCTGCCTGGAACCACCCTAACACCTTCCTCGGAAAAAGGTTTTTGGAAGGTTTTCGAAAAGGTTTTCGGGAAACAAGCCTTCTTGCAACCTTCCTAAAACCTTCCTCAGGACGGTGCCCGGAAGGCTTTTGGGTGGATTTTGATAACACCTCCCTGAAACCTTCCTAAAACCTTCCGCAGGAAGGTTTTTGTAAGGTTTTGGGAAAAACCTTCCTGGAACCTTCCTAAAACCTTCGCGTGGATGTTTTTTTTTTTTTTTTTTGTTGTAAGGTTGTTTCCTTTTTTTGTGAAAAAACTGTTTGAAACCTTCCTAAAACCTTTCCCAGGAAGGTTTTTGGAAGGCTTGCGGGCCAACCCTTCCTGAGGCAGGTTGTTTTAAAAAGGTCCCCTGGCAAGTTTTACGAATGTGTTTAGAGCAACCTTCATGGAACCTTCCCAAAACCTTCCCCAGGAAGGCTCGTGGAAGGCATGTGGAAGGTGCTCGGGGAA